GAACCTGCAGGATGCTTATACTACAATAAATGGGTCCATAGTCAGGAAGATGCAAGGAACCCATTAAACATTGTTTATATCATAAAAATGAAATCAAGAATAAACTTGAAGTATAAGCCAGCCCACAGATATGAATCTTTGGATACCTGAGTTACTTATTTTTATATACTTACCTTTCACTCGCTGTCAAAGGAGCAGAGGCCTCAGCAGCTTGATATGCTGATGCACCATTTTCAGGAAGGGTGGGACATTCAGTTTTCAAATTTCCCTCAAATTCTAGGAACAGAATTAATAACTGAACAAGGAGCTACTTGCTTTATCCACATTTAAAAACTGTTTATTTAATTAATAATATACAGACCTGATTATGTACTTTATTAATGTTTCAAATGCAAGAGATCTAATGGAATATCTAAGCCTATAAATGCACAAAGTCTGAAATATTACTACTACAAAGGAAGAAACTTTTTGTATACACAGTATTTTCATTATAGTATAATTTGATCTCCTTTCATATTTTCATTACTACTGACTTCATATTCCTTTCAAGAGAAAAAAACTGAAAGAACTGAAATATATTTTTGGGAGATTAAGGAAAAATCTCTCTCTCGCTATTAAAATGCAATGCATTACTGGACGGGCAGCTGAAGAAAAATCAAGCAGCAGCATCTGCTCTTAAAATCAGATGTTAGTCTCTCAGTCTGCTTCTTCCACTTTTCTTGGACTCTGGGCATTTCTAGCTCATTTCTGTAAGTCTTTTCCCCCTTTATTATTTCAATTTCCCCATTTTACCACAGATTGTTCAATATACCCCCTCCTACCTCGTATCCCTGAATGATGATTAACTGAGTTGAAAGAGGCTGGACCTGGGTGTCCTGCAACTGTTAATAGTAGCCTTTCCCAGGCACTACAGAAATGACTACAGAAACATGAGAAACTTCCTTTTCCTCAAAAGATACAAGGGAAATCATATAAGGCTACTTCCAGCACTGAAAAGTGCATGGAAAAGCATCATCAGTTTGTCTGATTGCAAGAAGCATGATCGAAGAGTCCAGATGACTAAACTACTTTATTAGACAGTTGGACCTGTAACATGTTTGGATTGTGGTAATGGACACAATACTTGGGAACTTCTGCTGGTCACAAAGGCAAAGAGCTGAGACACCTCAATGGGAACAACCTGCCTTCCCCATGACTGCAGAATTCTTGTAGCTCAGAGTCGCATTCAAACCATCTACAGGAGGGCATTAATACTTCCATGCATAATCGTTGATGTGAAAATTGCTATTTCAAGATTAGAGGTGACACATAAATGGATGTAGAATACCATAAATGGAATGTCCTGGTACCAGAAATAGCACATCTTGCAACAGGAAAATGGAGGGGAGGGAAATGCTAGATAAAACCCATATTCTCTTTACAAATACTACTACTTTACTTTCAAACAGGTCAAAGACTTTCCTATTGAGAACTTGGCCTCTGGCAAATATGAAGCAGTTACTTAACTCTAAATACAAAATAAATTAACCTAAAGAAAACCCTGTCACGCTCTAGACCACCTAGACCAGAAATATCAGTCTCCTGGCTGCAACTAAATGTGAGCCCAAAGGGCAATTTATTCATAGAATTTAAGATGCCCAAGAACAAGGGTTTATAATGTAGTCTTTTCCAAGTATCCCAAAAGTATCATTTAAAGGTATCCAAACCGCCAATTTATTAGATAACAAGTTATTACACAATGAGACATACCAGTTTGTTTCTCCAACTCTGAAGAAGCTGCTTGTTCAGTCTGTGAAGGTTTGTTTTCTACCACTTCACTAATTTTTTCTTCCATTTTCTTCTGTACATCAGCAGCATCTTCAGTGGAGGAATCTGCTGGTTTCAAGGCTATAAAGATAACATCATCTTCAAAATCACCTGGTGATTTTGCATCTTGATATTCCAAAGTAGTTTGGTCTGACCTGGCAGAAAAATCACTAGTTTCTTTGCTGACTTCCATTTTCTCCAAGTCATCTCCTGTTATGTCTTCTGAGGATTCATCCAATTCAACATGATCTTCCTCATGACTGCTCGAAGTAAAGGGAGCAACTTCATCTCTGTTCTTAGACACAGTGCCCTCCATTTGAACTCCAAGACTATGTTGAGATGAAGCTATAAATTGTGTATTATCTCCTGTCACCTTTATTAAAAATAAGGCAAAAAAATCAATTAATGATATTCAAGATTTTGCCAAGAATAAAAAACATGCTAAACATTTGGCATTTTAGAAGTGTATCAATGTAACAGTAAGCAAGGTACTGACAATTAATAACTATTTTGAAGCCCATAATATTAACATCAGCTTTGCTTCTAAAACAGCTTGGGCCAAGGCAAGTCCACTCATTCTGTGGGGGGAGGAGCAGTTGCAGGGGAGGTGCAAAGCATCCTGGGATGCTGGGGGACTATGCGTTAATTTGAATCTGAAGGGGATCTGGAACAGAAGTTCAATAAATCAATTTAACCTAAATCAGTTAAGTCTGATCCTGCACCCATCCAGGTTTATCTTAAAGCAGTTTTGGCCATTTTGAAAGCAGTTTATGTGCACTGCACTTCTGATGTGTTACGGATTTGAACCGGTTTCTGATCACTTGCACAGATGTGTGTGTAAATTCTGTCCCTAGCCCAGAATTCTGATATCAGTAGACAGCATAGCGAGTGCATCATGACATCATGAAATGGCCTTCTGAGGATCCAGGCTTCTGATGAGTGACAGGATACAGAATACCAACTATGTGAGAAGAACAGTGTTACACAGTCTCTCCAGTAAAAGAGAGGGAATATTGAGTCTATGTCCCTACAGAACATAATAATTAAGTCAACTAGTTCCTGTGGAGTGAAACACCAATGTTATACCTTTGCAGAGCTTGTGAAAGAAGTGTCATGTCAGGCATGTCTGTTGCCTGGAGGGTGATATACAGAGACTGAGAATGGTGGAAAAGTTTAGGGAGATGCTTAGTGGTACCCTCCCCCCCCACCCCAAAAAAACCCCAGCAACGCCCCCCCATACTTTCAGGGATGAACACTCTGCAGTGATCAGCTTTATTTGCTATTTGTCCATAAGTTCCTTAAAAATCCACATGGATTTCCACTTCTAAAATACTCTGTGGAAGGAAGATTCAGGATCTCTTGAATTTAGCATGAGTTCAGTGAGATTTGATTGTGCAGGATGTACTGTCTTTTAGGGACAG